ATATACATCTTTTCATATCAAAAAACAAACTCCTATTTTTCATTGAGAATACATACAAGATGTTGTATTTTAATGATTTGGTGCAGGAATTGAAGTCCACAAATCTTAAAGTTGCCAAGTTTGGGGGCCTATGATTTAGTGTAATGTCCTAAAACTTGATAGCTGTATAGGACAGTAACACTCATATTAGATATTCCTTGAATTGTAATCCAACACACCTGGACAAGGTTAGCTTGGAAAAGATGACTGGATCTTCTGTATTGAATGTTGATATTTTATACATATTTATATTTGGTCCACAAATATTTCTGTTAATGTGTTATTCTTTTATATATTACTAACAATATCCTTAGTAGTCATCCTTGAGGTAGAAAAAGAAAAGGTTAGTTTTTCAACTGTGACTATCCAAAGATAAAAGGCAAGAGAAAGGTGATATCATAAACTGCTTTCCTTAGGAAAAAATCTAATGTATCCATTACTTTGTCATAGTTGGTCAAAGTATGTTTCAGAATTATAAAGAATCAATGAAAAAAAGTCCAAAATTTGTTTTCATTATACACTAGAATATATAATTAAAATATAATAATTGTGGGTGTTTGTTTCAAGACAATGAAAAGCCAAAAGCCAAATCATTATATATACTGTATTTATTAATAAGCATTGTTTGAACTTCTTTGATAATTATCTAATGATGACTACCTAGGCTTATTTTCTCCAATTAAATAGAAACATTTGCAAATCATACTAATTTGTTAAATTTAGGCCTAGTTTAAAATATGCAAAATTGGAGGGGAAGGCGGGGGAAACTTGCCATTAGGAGTGCCTGCGGGCATCTATGCCTCACCATCAGCCGCTCCTAACAGCCAAACATGGTGGAGCACAGAGGGCTCCCTTACCCCTCTCTTACCCGGGTCAGCAGGCGGGCAGCATCAGAGTGGATGTCCGGCAGCGTTTCAGCCGCTTTTCAGGCCTCCATAGCTTCCATGGTTCCCACCGGTGCTGGCACCTCTCTCACCAGCGCTGTCTCCAACAGCGTCTGAGTCGCTCCCGCTTTTCCCCGTCCCCATAACAACAGGAAAAAAAACATTTTGAGGTACCTGGGAGCACCGCGCGCTGCATTTTGGTTTAATCCCAAGCGGCTGGGTGGGCATGAGAAGAGCCGAGAGAGCGTCTCTGCTGCTGCTACCCTTGGTGCTCCAGCCTTGGGCTCTGCAAGTTTGCAAAAGTCCCGGTGCGCAGCCCGTTCCTGCATTCCAAGCACCCAGGCCGAGCTGCAGCAGTCCCTTTCTCGCCATCGCTGTCTCCCACCGGACTGGCATCTAACTGGGAATGAAGTTCAATGATTTTGTCTTCCAGAAAATCTGCAAATTCCTCAGCACGTCCCTTCAGGTGGATCTCAATCTCCTCCTTCTCTAAGAGGAGGTGGCACTTGCAATGTTCCAGAGTTCCAGTGCACTTGCATGCTTCTCCACTTTTTCCTCATAGAGAACCAGGAAAAGGAATGCTAAGTATGTTAAAAAAGCAGACTTATATTTGATTTAGCTTTAGAAACTCTACTGATTTGTTTATGGTCATCATCAGTGTTTCATTATCTGGAATAATAGCGTAAAAGGATTCCAATCTCCTTTCAGCATGCTTGAAATACATGTCATCTGGCATGATATTAATGTAAAGACAATGTCACTTATTTGTTATGCAAAATTTCATTGACTAGTAGTTACTTTTGGATTGCAAAAATTTTAATTTTCTTTGTAAAGACATTCTATATGTTTTTCCTTAACCCTATATCATTTCTGACTTCATATTGTTTTGAAATCTGGAAAGAATGCTTGACATGCACATAACTCAGACTCAGTCTGAACAAGTTACAATCTACTTCCTTAGCCATACATTAGCTTACACTGCAAGTAATTGAAGATGGCTATCTTACAGAAAACTTATCTGTGAAAACTGCTGGGTAGAGCCATCCCATTATAAGTTACTGAAGACATTTTCAAACAAAAACATGCCACTGACTGTCTAACATGTATTTAAATGACATCTGAATTGTTTTCATTAGTTTAAACTAGTCCCTGTAAAAAATAAGAAAGATGGGCTGAAGAACTTTCATATAGGTCTCAAGGTACACAAAGCAGCTTTTCTTAACTAATTTTATAAACAAAGCTTTCATAATGATTACCCATTCAAAAATAGCAATCTCAATTTTTAAACTGCTATTTTGCAGGGAGTTTTTCCAATTAATTTACTTCACTTGATAAATATTATTTAATGATATAAACCATTTTATATATGTAGTTTATTCTTGATATATGTTTAAATGAATTATTAGTGATGTTAGGCAGCTATAATAAAGTTGTATAAATGAAAAAAATATATCCATCCCCCTACCTAATATTGCAAATCATTCAAAAAAGAACATTTCAAAACTACTTGATGTTTATGAAGTCAGCCTCTATGTTCACATTTGTAAGTACTTTATGTTACTTTATTTTAAATTTGTGACATAAGGAACAGAAACAGGAAGGCAGACTAAAACTAAAGTATGTATACCAAATAACTGTTAACTACACTTTTCACATATTCTAATTATATTCTATGAATTTTCAATTAAAAATTATTAGTTCTCAATTAAAGACACCCATTCCAACTATAATTTTGGGAGACAGGCAAGCTTGTTTATTATTTCATCTTGAGCCTTAATTTTAAACTATCCAGCTACACAGGCCAAAACTCAAACAGGCTTGTGTATGGAACAAATACTACAGGTATTCTGAATCCTGCTCCAGAAACTCTTCCAATCTTCAGGAGTAACTACAAAATAACTATAATGTTAACCTTTTAATCTAATTCTCTATTACCTCTTTAAAGCTCAATCAAATTCTAGTTCCTTAGCAAGACAAGCAATGTATTCATTAGCATAATAAGCATGACTTTTTTTCTTATAAGATGCACATATTTCACATTTTATGAAGAGTCTTCAGTGAGCCTTACAGTTTGAGGTTCAACCACATAACAATACCACCAACTGTGGTGACATACTCCACATTATCATTACAGGAATAATATATTGAGCTATGCAAGAATTTTAGCAATTACAATCACTCAAGTGATTGTAAGTCATAATCTGTGATTATGATTTGCCACATGCATTTGCTGCTCTAGTGAGAATAAAACATTAACCTTTTAAAATAACTTGCAGGATGCTTATTATTATTGGTATTAATTTAAATATTAAGAGCATTTTAAATATATACAATATGGTAATTTGCATTAAATCATCAGTTTTCAAGAAACATAAAAGCATCATTACTATATGTGTAATGTCATATGATTTCATTTTAATATATATAAAAGAAATTATTTCACTATAGCATGACAGTAATGTATAAGTGAGGTATTTCCTCTGCTCTAAAGAACTTGAATCCTGAATTTTTAGATTAGTAAGAACAAATGGAAAGAAATCACAAATGAATGTGTATGAAAGTGTGTTCAAACTTTTGAAGTGGGTCTGAAGGGGGGGCAGGGAAAAATTGTTTTAGAAAAGTATTTCAGACATAAAATGAAGGAAAAGAAAACCAGCACACTAGAAACTTTTAAGAGGATAACAAGGCTTCTAGACAGTTCCTGTATTATTATTACATAATACAGCTCCAAAGCAATTTTTCCCTAGCTAGACTTTGAGATGAATGGATCACAACTCCCATCATACTGGTCAATGATGATAATGGTTATAGTCCTATTCATCTGCAGGATATCAGATTAGGAAACACAGTAGAAGTTTTTTTTTTCCAGCCTAAAATATATCTAACCTCATAGATTCTTACTGTTCTTCAATCTAACCTAATTACAATTTTGTTTCCATAAACATTGAGATAACACAATCAACATATACCCACAAACATGATAAAAAACCCAATCTCAGCTTCAGTGGAAAGTAAACACTCTTTATTCATTTTATCCCTACCGTAATTCACAGAACCAATACTACTATCACATTTTATATATAAAAAAACTTTAAATATTCATCTCTTTAAAATGATACTGCACTCAAGTATATTATATGAATGCAAAGACCTGCCTCTGAAAAAGATAGAAAGCAAAAGAACATAGAGATGCCTTAGATCCAAGACCAAATTCTCATGAGTTTAGCATTAGTATTTTAGAAATGAACTTGCCAGACCACTGCTTTTAGTAACAAAACTACTATATGCTTTCTCTGGGGAAAATTACTACTAACAACTAGCTATGCCATCTTTTATATTTGGAAGAATTATTTCTCCACAGATTACTTTGTGTGTTTTCAAATTAAGGCAACTTGAGTTTTGAAAATTTGCTTAAAAACAAATTTGGGGACTTCTGATTCAGACAACATTAGCGCATAATACATTTTCTGTTTTTTGTTGCACTGCATCCTAACTCAACAATTACTGCCAAGCTGGGAACAACTGACCTATACATGAACAGCAACTCATCCAGGCTAGGTGTGGCAACAGCTGGAACTGCAAAATAAGGCAGCTGTCTCTGATAACCAAAGGCCAAGATTAAAACTTTTGAACTACATTTTACTGAAATGCAAGCCCCAAATATATGCCCAACTAGTAAAACAATAATGATACTAAGGATGGTGCCTCTGGAGTTCTTTAGGATTCAAAAAAGAAAGGGGGGCAGTTAATATTAGAATAAATTTGGACAAGAGACAGATAAAACCCCAAATAAAGACTGTCTAGAACAGACTCTCTAAATCTGATATGCTCCAGATATACTCGACTATGATCTTGATGCTGCACCCAACAGACGTACTGGCTATGGGTGATGGGACTTCTCTAATCACACACATCCGGGGATGCCTAAGTCAGGGGTAGTGACTTTTAATGAGTTTTTTCGAAGTGCGGTGTGCAAATTAGGATGCTATTAAGAGAAAAGTGCGGAAAGGAAGAGGGTTGGGAAGGAGACACTATCCAGACAGACATCTCAGGTAGGAAATCAAAGTCCACATTTACCTGTTCCCCATCCCAGCGGGTGAGCCGTGCTGTGCAGAAAAGTCCATAACAAAATATGCTTAGGAATCCAACTCATTGTATCTCCCTCCACCCTGAGGCGGCCCGCAGACATGGGATAAGAAACAGCCAGGCCGAGACAACTCTGGGGGACGAGGGGAAGCGGGCGGAACTCGGGGCGAGGGTGGAAGAGGACGAAGCGGCTCTGAAGCAAATGCAGGATAAAAAAAAAAAAGAGGCCCCAGCCGAGGCAGCGGGAGTAGTTGCGGCTTGGGTACTTCTGACGTGCGTTTGCGAGTCGCTCCCTTTCTCTAGCTGTAGGGGAAACAGGAAATCTTAAAAAGTTCGCAAACAGCTGGGCAGGACTTTCTTAACTCTTACAGTAGTTCCTTTTCTGCCCCTCCCTCTTCCCAGCTTCTCCCCCCTCCCTGCCCGTTTCACTATGAAACCTCTTCAGCCCGCTCTGCCTGTCAATCATCGGCCTTAGGCCGACCTCTCTTGACTCAAGCCGTTACTCCACAAGCTGAAAAAAAGAACATGAACAAGAAAAGAAATGTATGAAAAACCCTGCCTGGAGGTTAACCCGAGCCTTGGTTCATAAAGGCGTTTTCCCCAATCATCTCGCTCACGCTTTTCTCTTTCCGACTCAGGAGCGCGCAGATCTCTACATGCCCAGGCTTTAAACCCTGTTATTAATTCTCATATCCGTAAATACATTTTCGTATTGCGCCATACGTGATACAAAAGAGAACGGCCGAAAGCTCCCACCCTAACACGTATTTCCGGAGTTCGGTATTTTCTCGGTTCAAAATGGTTTGCATCAAGGTATGTTGACCACAGATGCTATTTAGCCTAATCTGCAAGCAGTTTCCCATATTATTTTACTTTATGCCCTGTATCTAATTCCCAGCAGGGTACGAAACTATGTGACTGGGCAAGCTTTTGGGGAGGAAAAGGGGGGGGGGGGGAATTGTGTCTGCCTACCAGCATCCATCGGTATTCATCTGGCTAGCATCCTGTCTCTGTATGAGAGAGTTTAGGGCTGTTTGGAAACTGAAACAGTATTTGCTGTTTGAGCAAGAAGGTAGCAAAATGTGGCTTAGCTCAACTGCAGTTAGAACAGATTTCTTTTCAGGTGGGGAGTGAGAGAGTTGAGGGTGTTTGGAAACTGAAACTGTATTAGCTGTGTGAGCAAGAGGGAGATAGCAAGGAGCCTGGGCATGGCTTAGCTCAACTGCAGTTGGAACAGATTTCTTTTTGAGTTGGGAGAAGGGAGTAGAATTCCTTAACATCAGAATGTGTTAATAATAATATAGGAAATACTAATGCTCTGGTGGTCATTTCAAAAAATCCTTTGTTAGTGAGCGCCTAGAAGCCAAGAGGAACATAGGTGACAAATTTCAAGTTTGTAGGTTTTACGATTTTGGAGATTTTGTGATGATGCATGAGTAGTATTTCAGTTTTATATATATAGATTTGTAAACCAAGTTAAAAGTGAAGCAACACAATAAAATTAACATGTCTGTATATTTAACTTAATTTAATAAAATAAATGTTATAAATGTTGACCAAACTTGCTTACCTATTGTAATGATAAAAGAAATAGAAGCACCCTTCATTTCCATGTATGTGCTTTGGAAAAGCATCTGTGAACTAGTAAAGTTTTCAAGTCATGTTCCATTTCCTGGTATTTTACAGTCACAGCCATTCAGTTTACTTAGCCACCACACAGTACAGAAATAGCTTGCTATTGCCCTTTTCAGAGATTTTTTATCTTTCAAGTTTAGACTATATCCCTGTTTGCTAGTGTCCCTCATCAAAATATTAAACAAAACTGAACCTGTTGCACTTTTATTGTTCTCTTTTTGCTTCTCCTCCTGCAGACATTTCATTATTAGGCTAGGTAATATTTACTTACATTCTCTACTGTAGCAAGATTTGACTTTGCCCAGGTTTTCAGATGATTCAAGATAGCTTAGCTTTCAGTAGATATAATTCAGATAGTCAGTGGCTGTTTACCTACTGATTCACTTACAATTTTTATTATGCTTCCTTTATGAGGCAAATATAGACATAGTACAGTCTTTATTTACAAGTGTTACTGACTGCCAGTGTGGTTTATGATTAAAGTATTGGGTTAGGGCCAGACAGGCCCAGGATCAAGTATACTTTCAGTTGTTAAACTCACAGATAGTTCCACATTTTGTTCACTGCAACACATGGGTACTTCATGGATTTATGCATTAAAGCTGGCGTAATGTGTCTTTTTAGTTAATTGTTAAAAGGAGTGCTGAGTGCCATGAAGAGATGTTTTGGGACGGATGGATGGAAAGACAGAAAAAAGATTGACTAGAACTCATACTACATGATGTTGAGGGTTCACTAGTGCATTAGTCAGAATAAGTTGTTCTATGTTTAATGTTATCCTTGAGATAGTAATAAAATGATTGAGGACCAAAACTAAATCTAGAAATGGCTAGTGTAAATCAATAGTTCTCGGATCCAGAGAAGCATACAAGTGCTATAATATAAATTATACTTCACCTAAATTGGGTGTTAGCAACCTGCCCCTCTGGAGCTATATGTGGCTCTTCGGGCCCTCTGCTGTGGCTCCTTGTTGGGTGATCCCACCACTAGCTGGCCCTACACCTCACTCTAGCCTCCCAGGTAAGATCCCCAACAAGAATTTTAAATCAATGTGCTGTATGTATTTTTTTCCAATATTTTTTTGCTTCTACACATGTCCACCACATATGGTAATATGATCCAAGTATCTGGTGACATTTTCAACATTTTGATATCACTTCATATTGTATCACTGCTAAAAGCAAACAAGTGATTGTGTGAATATTTATATCATAAATTAGAACCCCAGTTCTTCCATTTGTTTTTGTAAGCAGAATTGACTTAAAGTATTTTATTCTCTGAGAAAATGGCACTTTCTGATTTAAAGCAAAATACACAGCAATGAAAACTAATTGAAAATCCCCTCTTTCTTTCTTTCTTTTCTTAAAATTCTTTCCCTCTCTTCCTCTTCTCTCTTCTTTCTTTTCTTTCTTTCTTTCTTTTGCTTATTTGTGTATGTATTGTGACTGGTTTTAATTGTAAAAATTAATAAACTATATTTTTAAAAAAAGAAAATCCCATTGTTTTCTATCAATTAGTGCTTACATCTGATAATCACATCAAGTTGGAAGAAATCCCTTTAATACTGTGGAAGGCAGTAGTTGTTAAGTTCGAAGGGTTGGGCTCACAAAGACGAGAGATTCCGGTTCAGTAACTCTTTATTTATCAGTCAATTCAGCTCAAAGGAATAGCAGCTGCGGCAGCTCTTTTATAGAGCTCACCGGGGCTTTTGTGGCCAATGACTTCGCTTCGAGTCTCCCGCTCTTGGTATCGACCAATCGCGGCAGACTCTTAGCGAGCCAATCATAGTCGCCTGAGTTGTCCAATCAGGTAGCGGTTAATTGAACCAATAGGAACGCAGGGTTTCAAGTCTATTGATATGGAACACCCCTCCCCTCTTGGTATCGTCCAAGGGGCGGGGTGACGTAGTCGTGCAGATAGGTGGGTCTCTGTACCTGCCTACTTGACTTGCGCGCTTCATTCAGTCCCTGGTCGTTGGCCGGTTCGGACGGGCTCCGCATTGCTCTCAATTCTCCCGATGGAACCGCCTGGAAGGGAGAGCCGGGCCTATAGCTGCGACTCCCGCCTGGTTCGCCCGGGTTGGTCGAGTCATTCGCTCTGCTGCTTCCGCCTGGATTCTCTGGGCTGGTCAAGCTTGTCTGGCTACTCCTTTCAGGTGAAGCACCCGTCTGCAATGGCTCTGTATATTCAACGGCTCTGTATATTCTGCGAGTATGGTTGGTTTATTGTTTGATTTCTGCCTGGGGGATGTTCTGCTTGTGTTGAGTTTTTTTCTTTTTCAATGTTCGGGGTTCCCCCCCAACTGATTTCTTTGTAAAGGTCTGTGCTGGCAAGCCTGGACCGTAGCTGGTCGATATGGCGCTTCCAGCTACGCCCATCGGTGGTTTTGAGGCGGTACGACCTGGATCCGGTTATTTGGGTGATTCGTGCAGGTACCCAGATGTCACCGATGTTGAATGCGCGACGTCGGCTTGTGGAGATTTCTCCGGATTGTAAGTGGGATGCAACTGGTCTAGTGGCGAGCAGAGTCTTCTGCCCATAAGTAGTTCTGCTGGGCATTTGTTAGTGGTTGTGTTAGGCATGATATGTTGTATCAGCAACATTTTGTTGATTTTTTCTTGGATATTGCCCTCCTCAATTTTTTGTATGGTTTTCTTTGTAAACTGAACTATCTGTTGCGCCCACCCATTCGCCGCCGGGTGAGCGGGCGATGTTATTGCATGTCTGATGCCCCGGGCAGCTAGGTATTGTTCGAATGCCAATGCCGTGAAGTGTGGCCCATTGTCAGACACTATCACATCTGGCAACCCGTGTGTGGCAAAGAGTTTGTTAAGTTTGGCTATGACTGCCTCTGTGGTTGTTTTTTTCATAGTGCAGACCAATTTGAATAGGCGTCCACCGTTATCAGAAAAGTGTGTCCATGAGTGGGGCCGGCGAAATCAAGATGAATTCAGGACCAGGGGCCTCTGGGTGTTTCCCATTCCAAGGGTGGTGCTGTGGGGGGGGGGGTGGATCGCATTTGTTGGCAACTGTTACAAGCTGCGACCCATGTTTCGATCTGCCTGTCCATCCCGGGCCACCAAGCATAACTTCTTGCCAGGGCTTTCATCCGGACGATGCCCGGGTGCCCTTCATGCAGCATGTCCAGCACTTTGGTTTGTAATGTTTCAGGTATCACCACCCGATCTCCCCAAACAATGCACCCTTTTTGAGCAAAGAGTTCAGTTTGCCGGCTCCTGAAGGCTTTAAAACATTCGTCTTTATCATTTCCTGGCCAACCCCGTTCTACCCAACTCAAGACTCGTGCCAGCCGCTTGTCTTTTTTTGTTTCGTGGGCAATGTCTCGCACGATGAGGAGTGGGCTGGGTAGGGTTTCTATTTGGAGGACTTGAATGGTGGGTGCTGGGTCATCCAGCACGTCCGGAAGGGGTGAGTGGCTCAAAGCATCGACGTGCAAAATGTCATTGCCGGGGCGGTGTATGAGCTGGTAATTATAGGCAGCCAAGAACTCGGACCACCTCGTTGGGTGAGGTGAGAGGATGGTTGGGGTGGCCTTGTTGCCCGCCAATATGCCAAGCAGAGGTTTATGGTCAGTAATAATGGAAAAGGTCCTACCGTAGACGTATTTGTGGAATCTTTTCACTCCGGAGATGATCGCTAAGGCTTCCTTGTCCAGCTGGCTGTAGTTTCTTTCAGGCTTGGACAGGGTTCTTGAAAATAAGGCAATGGGTGCCTCTTTTCCGTCTGGTAGGGTGTGA